TTTATTTCTGCTCTGATTCTTATTATTTTCTTCCTTCTATTCTCTTTGGACTTTGCTCTTTTTCTAGTAGGTGTAAGGAAGATTATTTACTTGATATTTTCCTTATTTCTTGAGGTAGGCCTACATTGGTACAAATTTCCCTCTTAAGACTGCTTTCTCTATATACCACTGATTTAGGGTTGTGTTTTCATTTTCAACTCTTTCAAGGTATCTTTTAATTTCTTCATTGTTCTCATGTTAACTCATCATTATTGAGTAGCATGTTATTAAATATCCATGTGTTTGTGTATTTCTCACTTTTTTTCTTGTAATTGATTTCTAGTTTCATACAGTCATGGTAAAAAAAAATGCTTGATATGATTTCAATCCTCTTAAATGTATTAAGACTTATTTTGTGACATAACCTGTAGTGTATCCTGGAAAATGCTCCATTGTACTTGAAAAGAACGTATATTCTGGTACTTTGGGGTGAAATGCTCTGAAAATATCAATTAAATCCATTTGGTCTACAGTGTGATTTGAGGCCACTGTTTCCTTGTTGATTTTGTCCAGAAGATCTATCCATTGATGTCAATGTGATGATAAAGTACCTTACTATGATTATATTACTGTCCATCTCTCCCATTATGTCCATTAATAATTGCTTTATATATTTAGATGCTATTATGGGTGCAGAAATGCTTACAAGGGTTATATCTTTTTATTTGCAATGATCACATTATCATTATGTAATGTCCTTCATTGTCTCTTATTATAGCCTTTGTATTAAATTCTATTTTGTCTGATAGAAGTATTGCTACACTAGAATTTTTGTGTATAATTAGTGGCATGTATGTATAGTCATTTTGTTTTCCATATTTATGCTCCCTATTTTTCTTCTTCTTAAAAAAGTCCCTTTAACATTTCCTGTAATACTGATTTGGTGGTGATAAATGCCATTAGCATTTATTTATTTACTTACTTATTTTGGTCTGGAAAGCTCTTTATTTCTCCTTCAATTTTAAATGATAGGCTTGCTGGGTAGAGTAATCTTGTTTGTAGGTCCTTGTTTTCATCACTTTGAATATTTCATGCTAATCTCTTTTGGCCTGAAATGTCTTTTAAAAAATTAGCTGAAAGTCTTACTGGAACTCCCTTATAGTTACTATTTTTCTCTTGTTCCTTTTAAGATCCTCACTTTGTCTTTAACCACTGTCATTTTAGTTATGATGTGTCTTGGTGTGGGCCTCTTTGGGTTCATCTTGTTTGGGAATCTGCACTTCCTGGACATGTGTGTTTTTTTCCTTCACCAGGTTAGGGAAGTTTTCAGTCATTATTTCTTCAAATAGGTTCTCGATACCTTGCTCTCTCTCTCTTCCTCTAACACTCCTATTAGGCTTGATATTGTCCCAGAGGTCTCTTAAACAATCCTCATTATTTTAAATTCTTTTTTTTTAAATTTTTGCTGATTAGGTGCTTTATGCCACCTTATATTTCAATTTGCTGATTCAAGCCTCTGCTTCATCTAATCTGTTAATTCCTTCTAGTGTATGCTTCATTTCAAATATTATATTCTTAGTTTCTAACTAGTTCATTTTTATAGTTTCTATGTCCTTTTATGTCGTTGAAGTTCTAAGTTCCTTAAGCATTCTTATAACTATTATTTTGAACACTGTCTCTGGTAGATTGATTGCCTCCATTTAGTTTAGTTCTTTTTCTGTAGATTTTTCGTTTTTTTCCTTTGGGACATATTTGTCTCCCCATTTTGGCTACCTCTATGTGTTTCTTCTGTATATTAAGTAGACCTGTTATGACTCCTAGTATTGGTAAGGTGACCTTATGTAATATATCCTACAAGGCTCAGTGGTGCAGTTTCCTTGATCATGTAAGCATAATGGTATCAAACTAGAAATCAATTATAAGAAAATGTCCCTTGTGGGGGTTACATGAGCCCACCTATTGTAGTTTAGTCTTGATTATTGTTGTCCTATCTGTAGTGGGGTTGACCCTTATGTTGGCTAACTATGAGGACTGACCTTAAACAACCACAGTGTACAAGCTGCTGTGCAGGGAGGTTACCTCCAAACATGAAATTATCCCTAGCAGGTTCTGATGTCTGCTGAGATCTCCCTTTAGATGTGCCACTTGTGCAGCTAATCAGATCATGCTCTGATGAAGTCTCAAGCCAGCTACTTGGTATGTTGATTCTCTGGTCTCTTGGGAAAGACTCTAGTGCAGGTCAATGTCAGATACTGCCTATGACTGGCCCTGGGGCATACCTGTTAGGAGCCACAAACCAATCCATGGTTGTTGGCTGCCTGTTTTGGGCCTGGGTGAGAGTGGGAGAGGACAACATGTATACCAAGACCAGTGTACACCATTAATGAGCCTGGGACAGGTTAGCAAAAGGCCCAAAGCAACCCAAGATCTGGCCCCATCTGACATCTGCCTGTATAACTCAGCCATTAACAATCCCATATCAGTACACAATTGGCATGAGGCAGGTTCTAGGTCACAAGCTAGGGGTAAGTATTGTTCACCAGGTTGATACAGATTCAAACTCAGTGAAAGTACTGGGTCTGTTCACACTCAGCAAAAGCCTCAGAGTACACCAAGGCCAACCACCACCCAACTTGGGCCTGCAGACCTTCGTGGCAGAGTGTGGTTTTGGGGAGTCATCAGGGTGAGGCCAGTAAAGTTCATCAAGATAAAACAGATTGAGATTTGGCTGAATGTAGGCAGGGCTCTGCACAGAAATAGTGGCATTAGTTGGGGCATGCAGGATAGAAAAGATGGTGTTTATCCCAAAGCCAGACAACTTGATTTTGTCCTGTGTATTTCTGTAACATCCTGAATCTGCCTGGGCCTCCTTGAGATCCTTCCAAAAATGACTACAGCAAGCCCACCATGCTCACAGCTAGTTGATTTCTCCACAGGGCACAAGCTTGCCAAGGAAGGGACACAGGGAGTTGGGAGGTTGGGGCCAGCAGATCTACCCAGGCCAACGCCATATGCAGGGGAGTGCTGACCCAGGAATAATGGCATCTGTAGGTGATGTGGGAGAGAGACTCAGCACAAGGACAATGGTGACTATTTCTTCAGCTCTCTCCTTGAAGCCAGACAACCAATCTCTCCTTTTAAGACTCTAGTCTCCTCTGAGACTGTACCTTCACCAGAGTCCCAGATACATGCCCACAAAGGTGATTTGTGTGCTGGCCCTTTAAGAAGCTACCTAGGTTCCTAGCACATTTCTGTTTCTCCCTGGCAAAGAATCCCCATTGATTTGCACAGCCAGATGCTGTGGGATCATCTTCCTGGATCTGGTGATCTGGTTTGGGAAGCCTGGCAGGAAGTGGAGATTCCTCACTATTCAGAGGATGCTCTGCAGCTGAGATATCCCTCGAGGTTCTCAACCACTGCACACGGGTGCAGGGCAAGCCCTTTTCGTGTCTGTGCCCTTCCTACCAGTCTTGATGTGGCTTCTTCTGAATGCCCTTAGTTATAAGATTTTTGTTCAGCTAGTCTTCAGTTGATTATTCAGGTTAATTGTTCTATAATTTAGCAGTAATCTGAATTTGATGCTTGGAGGAGGTGAGTATAATTTCCATTTACTCTACCATCATCATGGATCCAATAAAATTATATTTTATATATTTTTTTAAACTTTTATTATTGACTTAAGAGAGAGGAAGGGAGAAGGAAGGATAGATAGAAACATCGATGATGAGAAAAAATCATTAACTGGCTGTTTCCTGCATGCCCCTGATTGGGGATCAAGCTTATAACTTGCCTATTGTGCCCTGACCAGGAATCAAACCGTGACCTTCTGGTTCATAGTCAATGCTCAATCACTGAGCCATAATGGCCAGGCTAAAACAGTATTTTAAAAACACGAAGTAGTCCACCCATGTTCATAACAGCATTATTTAAATAATCAAAGGAAGCAAAATGAATGGATAAAAAAAAATGTGTACTATACATATACTGTAATATTATTCAAGCTTAAAAAGAGGAGTAATTCTGACACATGCTACAATACAAATGAACCTTGAGGATATTACCCTAAGTGACCTAAATCAGCCACAAAAAAACAAAAACCGTATGATTCCTTATATAAGACATGTAGGACAGTCTTAGTCACAGAGATAAAAAGTAGAATGGTAGTTGCTAGGGACTGAAAGAGAATAAAGTAATTATTGTTTCATGACTACAGTTTCAGTTTTCCAAGAAAAAACATTTCTACAGATTGGTTGAACAACAATGTGAGTATGTTAACAATAATAAACTGTACACTTAAGATGGTTAATATGATAAATTTTATATTACATGTATTTCACCACAATAAAAAGGAGTCTTTAATTAATGAACTAGACAACTTAAGAAAATTATTTGCACCTTATCTTGCTAAAACTAGGACAAATTAGGAAATGTAAATAGTAATTTAATTTCATTTAATGCTCATGATATTATTTTTAAAATTATATCTCAGGCCTCATTGCAGCAATTCATAATTTGTTATGAAAAATCCTAGATCAAATCTGGGTCATTTCAATTTCAGAACACTGAAAGCCAAGTGCAAAGGTAGTAAGAGGTTTCCAAAGAAAAGGCAAAAATCCTATATAATAAAATCCTAATATGCAAATTGACTGAACGGCAAAAAGACCAATCACAATGATGCACAATGACCACCAGGGGGCAAATGCTTAATGCAGAAGCTGCCCCCTGGTGGTCAGTGCATTCCCACATGGGGAAAGCCACTCAACCAGAAGCCAGGCTCATGGCTGGTGAGCTCAACGGCAATGGCGGGAGCCTCTCCTGCCTCTGCAGCAGCGCTAAGGACCCCTCGAGGGATGTCCAATTGCCAGGGAGTGAGCCTAAGTAGGGAGTCAGACATCCCTCAAGGGGTCTCAGACTGGGAGAGAGTACAGGCCAGGCTGAGGGACTTTCCCCAGTGCACGAATGTCCTGCATCAGGCCTCTAGTGTTAAATAAGAAAAACTCTGAGTTACTGTATACTAATACCTGTAGGAAAAGCAGCCCAAGGAATAGCAGGAGATGTAGTTTGGGTTTCACCGCTTCCCCCATCAAAAACCTCTGCAGCCTAGAAAACAAAGGCAAAATTACTTTAGAATACCTGGAAAATATTAGTATTATTTAAGCAATCAAGCTTCCTGGTTCTATAAGCATAGTCTTTCTAATGTACCACTCATTTTCAAATTCTCTTTGAATACTCAATTGCTTTTCAATCTTCATTACTATCAGCCCCCAATACTTGCTACCCTCAGTATTCATGTTACATTATCTTTAAGCAAAAATTTTCCTTACTTACTCAAATACTGTATATCTCCTGGCAATCCATTTTTTATTTTATATATCCTTATTTACATTTCCACTTGTGAATGTCATATCTATGTACTTTAAACTCATTTACCACATTTATCCATGTACATAGAAAAACAGATAATTTTTCTTTAAAAGTCTAGAGACCAAATCTTTTTTCATTAATTAGTACAAGACCTAATTAGAAATCAATCTAAAGAAATAGAATTAATCTATATATTTTTAATAATCTACCAGCTGGACTTTCTTATTCAACATTTAGAGTCCTAAAGCTGGCATTTTAAATTAACAAGCCCTCCTATTAAACAGTTTTAAAATTATGGGACAATTACTAAAATGTTGAGATATGTGTAAGAGAATAGCGTTTTCTATCTTAAGTGTTCAAGTGACAGTAAAATTATTATTGAAAAAAGAACCATTATGTCAGTTCAGATTCTTCATTGAGTTCTCAGCCAAAGGGAAGTCAACTAGAAAAATCTACCACAGGAGACACATGATGTAGAATTTCTATTCTCTACAAACTATGAAAAATGACCATGGTTTATATGACCAAGGACAGAGACCTCCCATATTTCTACAATAGGATGTGGTAAGAAAGTACTCTAATAACCACAATTAAATTGGAATGGTTGGCTAAAATTGTACCTACATAATATTGAAAGTATGATAATAGATCCACTGACTATAACATTGAAGTGTAAATTTTACTATAATGAACATCATCGAATCTATTTTTGTCTAATATAATAAATGGTCTAAAGGAGACTGTACTAAATTTTAACTTTCAAATAACTGACAACTTCTAAAAAATAAACTAATATTATATCTGAAACATATATTTTCCTCAAATAGAATAAATTTTAACAAATATTTAAATGTTTCATTTCAATAACATAAGACTCAATCACCCAACAAAACCCAAAATATTATAGATAACATACAAATGTGCAAAACAAAAAACACTTTTAGATGAAATAAAGACAATAGGTATGTTCATATTCTACATATTTTCATATCGACAGAAGAGAAAATGACCCTCATCTAAAAAAATTCATACCATTCTTACAAGATATTCAGAACATTGAATATAGACTTAATATCTTATATTTCCTGTTAATGTCATTAATTACATTTTCTATTTTTAACAATCTAATTTTACCAAATTCCAAACTAGTTGAAAGTCTTACTTAAAAAAAAAAAAAAAAAAAAAAAAAAATCACAGAGCTCACTTGAAGGTAGTTCCAGGACTTGAGCTCAGGCATCCTGACTCCTAATCCAGAAATTTTTCCTGCAAGACTATACTGGCTCCATAAAAATAAGTGGGTTACAAAGTATTTCAATAAATGAACACTCACTGAAAAGGATTAATGAAAAAAAGACAGTGCTTCTTCAGCTAATAATTTCCACTTAACAAAATACTAAGTCTAACCTGAGAGAATACTCTAACATAAACATACTAATTAATAGTATAAGCCACCAAAAGACTATGCAGACAATAGTCCAAATTAACTCATTAGAGGTGTAAACATGCAAATATGTGACATCTTCAAGGTTCATCTCTCATCTCACAAGTATTTCCTAATTGACATGTATCCCAACAAAATCATCTGCTGACAATTTTTAAAACCTCTTCTCTAGTGTTTTTACTAGTAGCACTTAATTACCTTGATTTAAACCATTCCTATGGGCATGACCAAATGTTCAATAATAATAAATCAGTTTAACTTTCAGAGGGCCTAGATTTTTGTTTGCCTTGATTTCATTTTTTATTCTAAAGTTACATTCAAAATGATCAAGAAAAGGATCATGAATGCCAATGATAAATAATACATTTTAAAAACAGTAAATACTCCATTATAATCTCACAAAATTAAAACAATTACACAAGCAAAATTAGGGTAAATAATAGCACATACCTCAAAACCACCAAAATCATCATCATCCATTCTTCAAGCGCACCTGAAAATAACAGAAAACACTGAAACAAGCCCACACACATACAGTCAATTATGTCAAAACACTCTCTGATTTAAAGGTATATATAGTTTTATTTGTAAGACTTTTATTTGGGTTTTTTTTAAAAAAAAAAAAAAACTTCTTTAACTATATGTGCATGCATTTTTAATTTAAAAAGATTAGACTTTTTTTTTTTGAAAATTAGTCTTTCTGGCAAAATTAGTAATTTCTGTGACTTTTTTCAGCAACCATGTATTTTGCCATTTTACATTGAGATGCCAGGAGTGGAAAAATATTCTTTTACATTTTAATTTGCTTTTCCCAAATTGGCACTAGAGCTCAATTCAATAATGCTTCCTGCTTTTTGCATCTATTCCTCAGTTGTCTGGCAACATCAGCACAAACTCCAGCTAAGAACAGGACTGTGGTGAATTTTTGGAAATCTGTCCCCCACCACAAAGGTTCTTCCCTTGGTTTCATGGCCGAGGTTGATTTAGATTTTCAAAATTGATCAGCATTTTTGAGCTGTGGCCACAACTTCTGGAGCATTTTGATATGTGTATTTTTAGCTGAAACTGCTTCGCACTTTTGGAAAAATGTGGAGCAAGTTACTAGGCTGATCAAGATAAATCAAGTCATGTATTTATGTGAGACCAGGGAAGAGAAAAATACGAGGGAATATTCAGAATTCCACTCTTCTTTATCCTTAAGGTATGTAAGGGAGATAATCAGTAGGATAATACATTTTATTTTATCTTAAGTGTATATAAATAAAAACAAAAGGAGAAAACCATGAGTACTTGGACTTTAAAAAAAGAAAAATTATAAGCTGCAAGTGATACTCTGGCCAACAATAACTTGTTTCCTTTCCTAGATTTCAAATATAAACGTGTCCACATATGTGACACACATTTAACACCTTAATAGCTCAATTGATGTTTCCTTCTTTACAGATTTAACACCTTGGAATTAATAATTATTCAGAGTGTGTATACATTTTTGGAACATTCCTTGAGTCAATAACACAAGATGGACTTATTACAAAAAATATATGTATATATTCTCCAATTATAAAAAAAATAGCTAAAACTAAGTAATAAGTAATAATTCTAAAGGCATTTCCTAAGATATTTTGCTCTGAGTGATAAGGCAGTTGTCTATATAAACATGGTTATCTGTATCTATGCTTTGCCTTCTCACTGAAATTAATATTAATGCCTTCAAAAATAAAATAGTCAAAAAATAAACAGTAAAAGAATCTCAAGAACTGTTTTGTTTTAATATGCAAAAAAAAATTATTTTCAGAGAAAATCAGAAGGTAATGGCACTAACAGAAATATATGTAGACAAAAATACATTATATAAAGAACATTAAATTAACCAAAATTTGATACCAATATTGTCACCATTACCCACATTTTAAAGACCTGATGAAAATATTTTTAAAGATGTACTTTTCCAAAATTCAAAACTAAGCAAGTCATCCACATACTGCACTTAAAAAATATAAACCAGACTTTCAAAACTTTTGATGGTGGTTAGTTTGAAATGGAATTCACATTAATTTTGTGTTGCAAGCGAATAGAAATCTGTATGTGATTACATTTTTTCATGAAGAAATTATGAAAGGGGAGTGATATGGATACAGAGAATTAACCAAGTCAAACTATAAACACCAAGTTGTCTTTTCCACATGTATCCCACAAGTCTCCGGAGACAATTAAAAAATATTTTTAGCATCTATGAACGCTGAACCAAATAATATGGTTTCAAAAGAATGGAATTTTTAGAGTAATGCTTCTATGTGTTTTTCTAAGTCATATCCCAATAAATTATTTGTAAGATGCCAGAAAATTTAAAAACAAAAACAAATACCCGTGCCTAACAATCATTTCAGCTTTGTTTGCCTGTGTTAATGAACCAAATACCATCAATTTCCTAAGTACTGTTTTAACTCTACAAAAGAACATATTAGTGACCACTGATGTCTCCATACCTCAGCAACTTCTATATATTAAAATGCAGATGCTACTCTTCTTTGTTCTCAAAGTAATATTAATATACTTTAAAAGACAAATGGGTCATGAGTTTCTTAAAAATAGAGTACTAAAAAAACAAACACTATTTTAAAGCAATAACCTTTCTCTGAATAATTTTGTTTCAAACCCTGAAATAGTTTCCTGCAGAACATTTGAAAGATCAGGAGGGAAAAAAATTACAGCACTGATCTGTAAAAATCCATTTTACAAAGTACACTCACACAAACTTAGTTTTTAAAAGGAAAATTACTAGTACAGACTTCTTTATGAATTTAGCCTCTCTAATATATTAAAACATTATTTTATCAAAAGTGCATTTATAAACTTTTTGGAATATTTCTAAGCACTTCACATTATATGTCATTACACTACAAATATAATGGAACAATACCAAATATATCTATCATCTAAATTATAGAATTAGAAACTGGCTATTAAAATAAGCCTGATTAAAAATTGATAAATATGTAGTGTTTTTTTTCACTGTCCAGGAAATAAGAGAAGTTATACTTTGTTATGATTAGGTATCTATATTGAAGATTTCATAATATGCAAGTTTAATAATTCTCATACTTCTTTATATCTGAACTTAATCTCTTTTGCTGCGCTGGTATATTAATTCCTTCTTTTACTATTCTCATTATTTAATACATTGCTAATATTTTGCAAGAACAAGATATATACAATACTTAATGTAACAAATTTTTATTGGGCAAATCTGAAGAACACTCAAGGTCCTTAAGGACTTACGGTCAGGTGTGGGGGGAAGGGCAGAATGTAAGAAAAGCATGCAAACACAATATGAGATATAAAAGAGCCACAAGAAAGAAGAAACTATGTCAAACGTGGAAGCATAGATTTTCCTAAGGTGATAAATCTAATTGGATAATTATTAAATGCTTCAGGTGGGAACATTTGAGACCTATTTCAATAGACCTAATGGCAAATTTTAAATGGCACATTAAGAACATGTAATTTATTTCAAGTCTCTTGCCAAAAGTCTTTTCTTAAAAGATAGCAAAGAATTGTTTTTGATTGTTTGCTTCCTCATAACGCAGGGTCAAAGAGAATATGAAATGAGAAAACTGCAAAATTTGAAAGTAACCACAAGGAAGTTGTATCTTAAACTACCAATGAGAAAATGAAAAGCACATCTATATTACAGAATCCAAAAAATCTCCAGAATGGATGCACTGAAAGTTGGGTAATGGTGAGAATTAAAATAACAGTTGCAGACAAATCCAAAATTCCCTCTTAGAATCTGCGCAACTAGCAACTTACAGCTCCTCATCTCTGCAAAAAGCTTAAAGGTATATTCCCTGGATAGGGTAAAGCTGAGGGTCTCTGGCTAGGAAGACACTGAGACAGGTATTTTCTTACAACAGAAGTAGATGATATGTGCTTCAACTATGCAAAGAAAAATGTGGAACAGAATAACTTATCTGATCTTATAAAAGCTGTAAAAATACCACAGAAGATACTTCTGATAGATGCTCTTAATGAAGAATTTGAGATAATCTATGACTTTTTTGCATGGGCGATCCTCCTTATCAGATGAAAGCCCAGAGTAAACTCTCAAAATCCTTGAAGACCTCCACCTAGTATCACAGAGATCATGGCAGAAGGAGGTGAATTAGAGTTTGTTAAAAGGATCATCCATGATAGTTTACAACTTAAAAAAGATTGCAGTGGTACAGCTATATGCTGGGAAAGAAATGCAGCCTTGCTCCTCTGAAGGAAGAACTTCGAATTCAAGAAGTTCCTAAAATCACCCACACTGAATTCTGTCAAGGTCAGACAATGACATGGGCCTTAGCTTGGAGTTTTTATGATGATGTAATAGTAACATCACCACCAAGTAAGCAAAGAAAATTAGAAGGAACACATCATATTTGTAGTGTTGGAGTCTGTGATAAAAGAATAATCCCTCAAACCATCACCTTTGGGCTCGGAGACAGTGGAAGAAGTAGTTGTGATGAGATGAATTGAAAAAATTCTCACTGATCTAAAGGTCCAACATAAACGAATTCTGTATGGAAAAGTGGAAATTAGCCTTTTTCTAACAGCCATAGAAAACTCCTGGTTTCATTTAAGGAAAAGAAAAGAGAACAAGTGAGATAATTAATTGAGAGAAGTTCCTGGAGTTCCTGAGGACATCATCCAAGCCTTGGAAGAGAAAAAAAAATTCACCCACAAAGCGTCTGTCAGTAGCCAAGATTTGGCCCAGGGCCCCCAGCAGAGTGTCCTGTTTGGGCCTGCTCTACTGGAAGGCTAGTCAGCCACTGTTGAAAGCCATGGCCCAACCCAGGATTCCCTTTCCCAGGTAGAAAACCCAGAGCCTATATACACTAATAAAAGAGAAACATGCAAATCAGGAGTGGATATGCAAATTAAGGAAAAAAGGTGGTGGCAGTCATGGAGCTGGAGCAAGCAGGTGGTTTGGGTTTCCCTGGCGATGGAGGAAGCCAAGCTTTCCACCTGCCCTGGCCTCCACTCAAGGAGGGACTGGGGGACTGGGCTGCTGGGGAGGTGTGGCTAGCCTGAAAATGGCTCTCAGCCCCTTAACCAGGCTGGCCACACCCCTGGTCCCTGCTGGGGAACGTGGTCAGCCTAGAAACAGCCATCAGCCCCTCACCCAGGAGGTCAGGTACCCCAGCAGGGACCTCCACACTAAAGGGGGTGTGACCAGCCTGAAAACAGTCCTCAGCCCCTCACCTAGGCTGGCCAGGCACCCCAGCAGAAACCCTGATCCTGAAGGGGGTATGACCAGCTTGAAAACAGCCTTCAGCCCCTCACCCAGGCTGGCCATGCCCCCCCTCAGTGGGGAGCCTCATCCCATGGGGGCGTGGCCAGCCTGCAAACCACCACAGACCCCGCCCAGGCTGCTCCATGCCCCAAGAGAATCAGCCTGATCCAGGACACCCTTCAGGGCAAACCAGCCAGCACCCACC